TTGTTTTTTTTATCGGAGATGACCCATGTTCGAATTCATCCGAGCTTTTCACCTAGACAAGCATCCTGACAAAGCTTGAATGATGATTGAGACAAAAATGTGACCGCTAGAGTGTTAACAAGGTTTTTTTTCTTTTTAGCTCGGGTGACCTAGTTTTTCATCCAAGATGACACATGTTCGAACTCATCCGACCTATCAATCAGATAAGCAGCCTGATAATGGTGGATGACGATTGAGGCAAAATTGTGACCGTTAGAGTGTTAACGAATAAGTGTGGACGGACAACAGACGACGGACATTCAACAATCCTAAGAGCTCACCCTTAGCTAGCTCAGGTAAGCTAATTAGAAAAGAGGGCACGCTCTCCCATTTTTAGAAACGAAAATCTTTAACGTGTTATACATAAACCTGCGGACGGTTTTTAACTTAATATGATGCACTTTTCCAAGATAAAATTATTGAAATACTTAGTTTGAAACAACACAGAATTGTTTCTTCCCAACAAAAGATAATAACTGAAAGCCGCTTTAACATAATGAGACAAAATTCATAACTTACCTTACTTTAACGTCGATCATAATATTTCTGTACACTTTTCCTTTCAAAATATGTGCTCCAGTGCTGATTGCATTCAAACAGCACTTTACAGCTATTTCTCGGAACATTTGATTAGCTATCTTTCTGGTTTCTGGCCCAATTAACTCGTCTATCTCAGTAGTGGGTTCCTCTATATATAGCGGGTGAGTAAAATCCTTTCCCTCTACCTGTTATTACAATATGATTATTGGTTTGGTTTTTACGTCAATTTCAAAAAGTTTAATCTTTTAGTTTTTTTGCCCTACGCAGATTCCGCATGCGCGAGAAAATGCTACATTGTCTGCCTATTTTTTCATGGCAACGGACCGCGTCGTAAAAAGGTCTATAGTCATATTTCGTTGGTCGGCCCATACATCCAGTTGGCTTTCCTGATATAAAACTAGTAGTTACCAATTTCTTCGCAAGCGACCGGCTACTAATACCGCCTGATTTCTGAATCAGCAGTGAAAGACGAATTGCCATTAGGTTATTAATTTGCTTGACAATAATCGCATACTGCTCGGTATTGACGAGCATGACCCGTTCAAGTAACTAAGGCAAGTTATAGAACAAGACACTCCTGCCAAAGGCCCTTATATTATATATCTCATATGTATTCAACAGTTATACAGTTAGAGTGTCGTATTTCCTTGCGTTCATATAATGCAAACATATTTATATATAGTGTATGCTTTAAATGTGGTACTTTTATTTTTGTTGAAATTTCCGTGGAGTTATTTAAAGAACGCAACATGATATTTAATTAAAAAAATACGAATACTTTCAAATTGACATTGAAGCATTGAATAAGTTTCTAAGTTTTAAGCTTAAAATATTCTTAATATAATGATAATTTAAAGTGGAAAATCAAATTACCTTTTAATAACAAAGATGTAAATAAGAGAAGTTTGGTCTTGTTTCTAACGGCGGACCAACACAGATTAGGTCATATTGTACATGTACATGTGTTTTAACTAAAACACCATTGCGACGCACTTTTGCTAAACAAATTGAAAAAAAGAACTAAATCAAAATATCAGTTACCTTTTTAAATGTAATAAGCATCATCCGACACCCTTTCTTTGTACACTTTGTTGATATTGCCGGTGGTATATCTAAAAATAAAATAAAACCCCTTACAGTACAAATACACAATGAAATATTTTGTTTTAATTGTTGGGGTGGGGTTGTTTGTGGGTGCAGGGATTTATTTAGAGAAAGCAGTAAGAGAATAGGAATAATTTACATAATAGGATGTTAGAAATACATCAAGTCACTATCCCCTCCCCAGCACCGCCTGTTGAAAGCGGTATTGTGGCTCTTCAACACTAAACTTATTTCAACAAATGACTCCAAAGGAATGAAAATATATAGAAACCAGATCTTTAAATATTTGATTATTTAATGTAAAAACAAAATAATAACTATGAATAAATATATAATGATGACATACCACAGTTTATAGCAATTAATATGTCGCGGTCAGTTGGAGATATGTCTGTGCAAAAATTGTCATGAGAGATTCTAAAATGTTCACCCTGAAACAAAATAGGAACTTTTTAGAGTAAACCAATTGAATGAGTGTAAACATTTACTTCTGGGTTTGTTATTTTTTTAACAATTTAAGCTATTAGTGCCCGTGAATGGACAAAGAACTTGCGTGCGTATAGACACAGAACTTGCTCATGCATAGACATAAACTCGTGTACGAGTATATACTTAGAAATTGCTTGTGTTTCGACATGGTGCTTGCTCGTGTATGGACAAAGTACTTAGTAATGAATAAACATAGACCATGCTCTTGTATATACATAATACTTGTTCTTGTATGAACATAGAACTTACATTTGCATAGACATAGAGCTCGCTTGTGTATAGACAAAGACATTGTCTATGTATGGACATAGAGCTTGCTTGTTAAAAGACATAGAACATGCTTGTGTATAAACATACAGAAAACATACAGAAAGTGTATCGATATTTTTTGGAAATTTCACTTCCAATTATATGAATGTTTATCATTATTATTTCAACAAATATTTCAGCTATCAAAGTAATAAAATTGTTTTCACATAAGTAGGCTAAATTTAGGTGGTTTGATAGCATGACTAAATTGTTTCACTCATGATATAATGTAAGTTACTTGCCAGGTGCGACAGATCCCCTTCCACGTTTTGCAACGTTTTATAACCATTGGCCACAAATCCCCGAACATCATCTAAAGCTAAATTAGAAATACGATTTATATAAAATCTTATCAAGTTATTGTATTTAAACAAATCTGATCTCGTGGTATATTCTATACAAGGCTCCAACCATAAAATGCATCTCAACATCTTTCTTTCGTGTGATGAAGCTCTCCGGCAACGTAGATCTTCCAGGGTATGTATCTGCTCATTTTCTCAAATGTATCTATGTGCTACAACCCGAGACCCTCCGCCAACAGTACAAATTAGAATATCGCTAAATTGTCATTACCTAAGGTATTTGATATTGATATGTTTGAAAGAAAAATGGAAATTGTTCGTAAATTTGGATTACAAAGAGGTTGTGTAGAAAGTCGAATCTAAATGACACAAATATCTGACAAGGGGAGAAGAACCGTAGTGGTTAAGGTGTCTGCCTCTTAAACCAGAGATCATGGGTTCGAGCCTTAATCGGATCACCACCATGCTTCTTCATATGACACCAGTACTGTTCGGTTTAAGGAAGCGGACTCGAAAGTGATTAATATAAGCTGCAAGAACTTATTTCGCAATCTAATATAAGTTGCAAGAACTTGTTTCGCAATCTAGCTTAAATAAATATGTTTAAACCAGATATCAGACTTACTGGCACCGTACGTGGGTGGACATTCTGAGGCATCAATCAGACCCATGATGGCCAAACTGTCATCTCCAATGTAATAAATGTTTCCTCCCGAGCGAAGACTGCTCAAAGAAAGTTTAAAACTCAAGATGAAACCTGTATGTAACTCTCCTCGGAAATAAATGTGTTGTAAATACAGGTGCAGTGTAAGCAAATAATGATTCAATGAATAAACAATATACAAATTTTGATTTCTTACAGACATTTGGAATCTAATTGGTAACATAGAAAGTTGATTATCAACAGGAAGTAAAATTCGAAGAGCGCAATGTTTCGAGAAACGTCATTATGTGTAGTGTATGTTATGTTGTGTTACGAATGGTCTTTTTTTCTTTTCTTTTTATAAATTCTTTCCCTCTTGCAGACCTATTTGTTATATACATATACTTAACAGTATCAACCCTTTACCTCCTGATTCTAGCCATGTGACAAGAAAAGCATTGATGCAAAGCATCAAAGGGCGTCCAAGCAAGAAATGCAGCAAGTGAAGATGAACTAGTACACATATGATGACAAGATATTCTTATATACTACCAGAAATGTATACCATTTATGAATGAGCGGACGAAAGACATTGTTCATTATGAACTTTGATTGGCATGCTAGAGATTAGAATATTACTTGTTATTTCTTTATGATCGTGGTTATTAATAGCAATGGATATACATGTATGCAATCATTTATAATCCATATGTATAACGCATGATCAACACGTACCACACATTTGTCCCTTATTATGTTATCGCTATTAGCGAAGACCCCCTTAAGGTATCTGTTCACACTTTAAGTTAGTAAAAATATGACACTGGTTATATTACCATGTTGATCATGTTGAGCATAATTGTTTATCATACAATAATTGTAATATCTATTAATTTTAATTAAAAAAAATACAAATTTTATGAATATTGTTTTCTTTTATTCTTTTTTGTGTTTTATGTGCTATTTTAATACTGAGTTTTTACTACTCTTTTTTATTAAAATTGTAAAATAAATTTTAAGAATTCAATTGTCATATTGACCGACGATTATAAGTCAAAGCTTAACTGGAAAAAGTCAGTAAATTATTAATTATGGTTTATCTTTCAATATATAATATTGTATATTCTTAAACCATGTACATGTACATTGTATTTTTCTTTATCATTTTTTAAATTATCGATCAATTGAATAATTCATAAAATCTAATTTGTAACTTTGAATAATTCCTCGGCATCTTTACTAAACACGGATAACAAATTAAATAATTAAATAAAATGTTTCAAAGTTGATAATGTCATTTTAATACCATAAAAATGTACCTTTTTCTCAATTATTGTACATATCACGGATTTATGTTACATATAAATCCGTGTACATATTTATTGTTTTTATCTCATATAGATAAAATGAAACATGCTATTGTTGTTTTTTTTTCTAATTGTAACGATATCAAACATCTACTTCAAAACCGGGAGAGACCAAACAATAAACGTGTGGTACTATTCGCCGGTAACTAGTAAATCCTGGTCAAAATAGACCGGGAGAGACCGGCATTTACCGATAGGAGTGATAAATAGATATATCTATAAATAGATTTTTGGAATATTTAGGTCATCAACTGATCATTCTAGGATACATGTACAACAATAACATACCATGATAACCGACTGTGTACTACAAAATGATAAATAAAAAATCCCGAAGAGCGCGATTTATTGACGGAAAAGGTTATTTCATTTGAAAATGTTTGCATTGCGAAAATTCATTGTAACATATCGCGACATTTCATTCTTATTTAATAATCAAGCACCCTCATACCGATCGGAATTATCGGCTTTTATTATGACCGACTAAAAGGCTCGAGAAGTTGCTGTCGCCCTTTCACAAAATCTGATCTCATTCCATAAGAGCGCCGCGCTTCGGCGCGGACGCCAATCAGTGCAGACCAAGATCAGTCTGCATATTCGTGCCGTCCAATTATTGGTCGCAATTCAGTGAGTACTTATTTCAAAATTTACCTAATATGATGAATGGTTTTGTCAAGATGGAAAGGTGGACAAGTCCATTTAAGATAGTTTGTGTGGCGCAAGTTTAGTATTATTGGAGTAAATAATGAATATATTACAGTCAAAATTACCATTGTCCAGCCTTCTCGACGATACGACACAGTTCTTGTTTGACCTTGTACACGGCCTTGTTCACTATGTTATAACATCGCATGAGATCAGATGGTTGACTAAATAAACGAAACTAACTTTATTAATACTAAAAAGGCATTTGGAATTCATGTAATACAAGAACAAGAGAAAACTGAATTTAGCAATGTTTATTTGCAGATAAACCATTTAAACAGGAAAAGATAGTATAAGTAAGGGTCATAACTTTGCCAAATAAAGGATTATCTGCCATTTAAAGATGGCGCCCTGTTGGGATAATGAACATGTATAGCAATTTTAAAATTGAATAGCTTTACTCCTAATAGTTTCTTAGAAAATGAATCTTGTCGAAAATGCTAAGAAACGCCGACGCAGACTAGAGAGTTATGACAATAGCTCCACTTTTTTCTTCGAAAAGTTAAGATAAAAATCAGACCAAAATTAACAAAAAATACATATCTAAAACTGTTAAGTCATATGTTATCAAGTTGTCTAAATTAATAGATATTTAAAGTAATGAGTCTCTTTATGTAGCGACAAGACGAACACGTATTAGCAATTAGTGTCAGCTTTCTATACTATAATCATAACTTTTAATAAGAAAATTCTATGATACATTATGGGCATAACAATTAAATATCGGTATATTCTTTTACTGTAGTTAGTGGTCATGACAAAATTTACATTTATGTCTATTCTGGTTTCAAGAACAAAAATACAAATGTAGTTTATTATTTTCTGGATATGTAACACATAAGACTTGTTTATTTTTAGAAGGTTGCGCATGAAGACAAAGATTTATACAAAGTACAGCCATAACAGCAAACTCTGGTACATCGTGAAGTACCACATGTCCTATAATGCGAACATTTGATTGGCTTATTCAAATTTTAGAATTTGAAATCAACCAATAGCATGCTGTGTTTCATTTTGAGACTGGTTCCTAGCATTTTAATAGCCATGGAAAAATACAGGGTATTTTACATACATATTCTCCTCGGAGTGATACATGTCAAGGAGTCCAGTCAAACAGATTGTCTCAAGAAGAAGTTTCGTAGCTGTCCCACATTTCATCCGACTCGATCCTGTTATTGGATCTGGCTACATAGAAAACAGAATTAATTGTTCACCTAATTTACACGGTGACCTTGTTAAAATATCTGTCATCTTTGTAACTTCCTTTTCATATTTATATTGCCTAATTTATTACAACATAAAACAATTAATACTGTGTCTCAGTTCTTTACAACAAGGCTGACAAATAAAGCAAATGAAATAAACAAAGTACAACTTAATCAAAATGATAAATTTACGACATTATGCAAATGACATGATATTATTATTAACTGAATAAATCATATGAAAAACCATGTTTGTAGTTCAGCTGAAAGAACTTGTAGACACGTTTGTAAACAAAATAATTCAGATTCCAGTAATAACACTTTTGAATAACTGTGTAAATACGATTTTTAAAACTTAGAAAGTACTCTTAGATTGATTTATTAGTAACTGTATCATATTTGTGCCAAGTAAAAGTATTATTAGATACATCTACTAGGACAATATTTGAAATTCAAATTTTTGTTGACACCTTTTGTAAAATTAAGGCGATAGCACTAACAGATAATACATGTACATTTGTTAGTAACATATAAGTAATTCAGATGAAACCATTTGTAGATATATTTAAAAAACTCTATTCATAATTCAGGTCAAAAGACTTATATACACATCTGCAAGTACCATACTTTGTAGTTCAGGTGTAAAAATACTTCCATATACAATTGTTTAAATGTATAATAACATATTAAACATAAAACCTGCATGTTAAAAGTATAAACATACATTTATGATATATCCTCTGCGGCTCTTGCTTGGAAATGTTTTAAGACGATTCACCACTGCAAATAATATCATATCTTATTGATATTATCATATCTTATTGATATGTAGTAAATAAAAAATCATATTGAAAAAAATGAAAAAAAAAACATTAACGTAAAAAAAAAACTCTAATCAAAATTAGAACGTGTATGAGTCGACCGCACGCAACTTTTTATGAATTAAATATATACAATTTATAATGGAAATACATCTTTAAAATTCTATTTGCAAAATGCGAGTACCTTATTGAAAAATTATACGGGAAAATTAAGACTGAACGGATTTTAGCATTGTAACAACGTTAACCATCGTTCGTTATTTTTGTCTAATATGGTACTACACTGCTGTAGTTGTTATATCAGACTTAAAATATTAGATGTGGCTTTTAATTGAGAACATGCGAATATGTATATATAATACGTTTCAAATTGACAGATTATAGTTGCAAAAATGTTTTATCCCAATTTTCTATTTTGATATATCTGTAGAAGGAAAAATATGAACAATTAGGGTATATTTCTATAAAAAAATCGTTCATTTTTATTTAACAAATTGAAGAAACGCTTCTTTTCTGATATGACTTTACAAAATGCGTATATGTATATCATTGTTTTTCGTCTGACCCTTGACAATTTCAAAAATATACTATTTTTAAGATAAAAAGAGTATAGGAAACCCTTAAGTAAATTTAACAATATATACACTTTAAAACGGGATATCTGGGCTTGCATACCATCTGTCCGTATAGGCCGCCACATTGCTTGAATTTACTAGTAGCTTGTCACCTCGCGACATTGACTAGATATTTCTGTGTTAACACTATATTTATTAGTTATCACTAATATTAATGTATGTATGGATGGATGGATGGATGGATGGATGGATCATTCATTCATTCATTCGTTCATTCATTCATTCATTATTTATTCATTCATTCATTCATTCATTCATTCATTCAATTATTCGTCCATTCAGTTATTGAGGTTAAGCATCATTTTCACAATGTTTCAGTTGCATATCAGTGTACTTCTACCTGATGAAAGCATTCCTGGAATTGTTTAAGTATAAACTTGTTGGTATCACAATCAGGGTCTAGGGTTTAAGTCTTGTTCAAAACGTGACAAGTTAACTGAAGTTCCTAATCTAATTAAAACATAACTTATTTAAGCCGGATTGTGAAGAAACCTTTCAGTATATTTTAAACATTTAATAGTCCACTTCCTTGAACTAACCAGTACTGGTTATATATGAGGAAACATAGTCATGCCCCAAGTTAGGCTCGAACCTAAGATCTCTATAGTGAGAGGCTGACCACTAGGCCACCGTTCAACTTTAATAAACCGAATTTGTAACACAGGAATGGGACAAAGACAAACAAGTTTGAAAGATTTACATATTTATATATATATATATATATATTAATGCTTTTGTAATATCTAAAATCTCATTTCTCATTTCTCACATCTAAACAATGTATTGTACATAGATAACGTACATAACCTACAGCTTAAAACAACTGAACTAACATTTCTATCATAAGCATGATTTTGCCGTAGAATTATACATGTATGAACAAATTACACACTTTAAATAGGAGCATTCTAAAACATCTTTTATATACGAGTATAACATTATTTTTAGTATAAAAGTATCAAAAATATACAATACCAATAAAGATTGTGTTGGGTCATATTAGATGTAATGGTCAATTTGCAGGGAAAAATATGTGTAACAAACATATCCAGTGACGTCAGTACAACTGTTTGTATTGGATCTTAGTTCATAAATTTACTCGCCATTTCTCAAGATACTCGATAGAAAAGTATCTTAAAGGGTCACGAGAGAAAAATGTCTTAAAAGGACATTACTGAGTTTTTTTGACTGGAAATATTTTTTCGAGATTGGTTTACCCTATGGTTCCGGTCTAGACAGATCAGTTTTCCAGAAAAAAAGATTATTGTACAAAATGACCTTAGATAAATGCTTTCATCTCAAATCTGGCTTAGAATCACACGAAAAAAATAAATTCTGAGCGTGCTTCTCTTAACCTTTAACAAAACTTTATGTTTTAAGTGCACCAGTTGACATTTGCAAGAATTTTAAAAGTTATGTTTTTGTGCTTTTTGCCTCGATGGACTTTCTTTAAAATATTTCGTCCACAAAATAATCAAACGTTCTATATTTATGGAAGCTGTTGTATGTATGTATGTATGTGTGCGTGCGTGCGTGCGTGCGTGTGTGCGTGTGTGTGTGTGTTGGTGTGTGTGTGCGTGCGTGTGATTGTGCGTGTGTGTGTGTTTCCTTCCTTGATTATCTAATATCATATAAATCTACTCTGGAAAAAGACTGTAATATGACATTATATTCTATACAGTGCAAATTGCTTACAACCTGCGTTTCATTGTCAAAAAAAATATACAATGTCAATCTAATACTTTTAATACAAGCGAGATGTTTTTGTCCATTAATACATACATGTATAAGTAAATAAAATACTCAATCAAATATACCAATAACACAAACTAAAACATGAAGAAAAAAACTTGATATACAGTATAACCTCTGGAGAGCGACCTTCTGTAGAGCAACAACCTGTGTACAACGATAATATAATTTCTTCCCATAAATAAACATTCACAATAAATTTAACCTCTCTAAGACAATACCCCTCAACAACAACCAGAATCTTAAACTTCCGTAGGGTGTTGCTATGCACAAGTTGTACTGTATATGCAAAATATATACAACAAAAAAGCAAATGAAAATATTATAATTATACAAAAAGAATGAATGCTACAATTCTGAATTACACAACCTTGAAAGTTAACAAGTGAAATATTTTTTAAAAAATATAGATGATTTTATATGAAGTATAATTACGATTCATGTATTTGTACATGTAAACCATTAATTCATAATAGGTGTATTTGATGCATAAAAGACATTTTGTTTTTTCATTTACAAAATTGTTGACCAGAAATAATTATGATGCTTATGTTTTACTGGATGATTTAATCTTCTATTGAATTACTAGTTCCACTGATTCAATAATTCTATTGATGTATTTGTTTTATCGATTTACTATTTCCACTGATTCAATAATTCTATTGATGTATGTGTTTTATCGATTTACTATTTTCACTGATTCAATAATTCTATTGATGTATGTGTTTTATCGATTTACTAGTTCCACTGATTCAATACTTCTATTGATGTATGTGTTTTATCGATTTACTATTTTCACTGATTCAATAATTCTATTGATGTATGTGTTTTATCGATTTACTATTTTCACTGATTCAATAATTCTATTGATGTATGTGTTTTATCGATTTACTATTTTCACTGATTCAATAATTCTATTGATGTATGTGTTTTATCGATTTACTATTTTCACTGATTCAATAATTCTATTGATGTATGTGTTTTATCGATTTACTATTTTCACTGATTCAATAATTCTATTGATGTATGTGTTTTATCGATTTACTATTTTCACTGATTCAATAATTCTATTGATGTACATGTATGTGTTTTATCGATTTACTAGTTCCACTGATTCAATAATTCTATTGATGTATGTGTTTTATCGATTTACTAGTTCCACTGATTCAATAATTCTATTGATGTATGTGTTTTATCTATTAACTATTTTCACTGATTCAATAATTCTATTGATGTATGTGTTTACCGATTTACTAGTTTCACTGATTCAATAATTCTATTGATGTATGTGTTTTTCGATTTACTAGTTCCACTGATTCAATAATTCTATTGATGTATGTGTTTATCGATTTGCTAGTTCCACTGATTCAATAATTCTATTGATGTATGTGTTTTATCGATTTACTATTTTCACTGATTCAATAATTCTATTGATGTATGTGTTTTATCGATTTACTAGTTCCACTGATTCAATAATTCTATTGATGTATGTGTTTTTTTCGATTTACTAGTTTCACTGATTCAATAATTCTATTGATGTATGTGTTTTATCGATTAACTAGTTCCACTGATTCAATAATTCTATCGATGTATTTGTTTTATCGATTTACTAGTTCCACTGATTCAATAATTCTATTGATGTATGTGTTTTATCGATTTACTATTTTCACTGATTCAATAATTCTATTGATGTACATGTATGTGTTTTATCGATTTACTAGTTCCACTGATTCAATAATTCTATTGATGTATGTGTTTTATCGATTTACTTTTTTCACTGATTCAATAATTCTATCGATGTATGTGTTTTATCGATTTACTAGTTCCACTGATTCAATAATTCTATCGATGTATGTGTTTTATCGATTTACTAGTTCCACTGATTCAATAATTCTATCGATGTATGTGTTTTTTTCGATTTACTAGTTCCACTGATTTAATAATTCTATTGATGTATGTGTTCTTTTCGATTTACTAGTTCCACTGATTTAATAATTCTATCGATGTATGTGTTTTATTGATTTACTAGTTCCATTGATTCAATAATTCTATTGATGTATGTGTTTTATCGATTTACTAGTTCCACGGGTTCAATAATTCTATTGATGTATGTGTTTTATCGATTAACTAGTTCCACTGATTTAATAATTCTATTGATGTATGAGTTTCATCGATTTACTAGTTCCACTGATTCAATGATTCTATTGATGTATGTGTTTTATTGATTTACTAGTTCCACTGATTCAATAATTCTATTGATGTATGTGTTTTATCGATTTACTAGTTCCACTGATTCAATCATTCTATTGATGTATGTGTTTTATCGATTTACTAGTTCCACGTGTTCAATAATTCTATTGATGTATTTGTTTTATTGATTTACTAGTTCCACTGATTCAATAATTCTATCGATGTATGTGTTTTATCGATTTACTAGTTCCACGGGTTCAATAATTCTATTGATGTATTTGTTTTATTGATTTACTAGTTCCACTGATTCAATAATTCTATCGATGTATGTGTTTTTTTCGATTTACTAGTTCCACTGATTCAATAATTCTATTGATGTATGTGTTTTATTGATTTACTAGTTCCACGGGTTCAATAATTCTATTGATGTATGTGTTTTTTTCGATTTACTAGTTCCACTGATTTAATAATTCTATCGATGTATGAGTTTCATCGATTTACTAGTTCCACTGATTCAATAATTCTATTGATGTATGAGTTTCATCGATTTACTAGTTCCACTGATTCAATAATTCTATTGATGTATGTGTTTCATCGATTTACTAGTTCCACTGATTCAATAATTCTATTGATGTATGTGTTTCATAGATTTACTAGTTCCACTGATTCAATAATTCTATTGATGTATGTGTTTCATAGATTTACTAGTTCCACTGATTCAATAATTCTATTGATGTATTTGTTTCATAGATTTACTAGTTCCACTGATTCAATAATTCTATTGATGTATGTGTTTCATCGATTTACTAGTTCCACTGATTCAATAATTCTATTGATGTATGTGTTTCATAGATTTACTAGTTCCACTGATTCAATAATTCTATTGATGTATTTGTTTCATAGATTTACTAGTTCCACTGAGTTACTAGTTCTATTGATGAATAAATCTACAGATTTACGTGTTTCAACTGATATAATAAATCCATTGATTTAATTGTTTTATCGATTTCCTAGATAACATTTGTTTAATAAATCCACGGATGTATGCGTTTCATTGGTTAACTAGTCCCATTGAGCTACTAGTTCCATTTATATCCCCATTCCTTCTTGCATTGAATTTTTTAGTTCATTCGATCTGTTTATAACTTTGGTTTACTAGTGACATTGATTTACTTATAACATTGATTTTCTGTGAAATCCCCTACCGAAAACACATATTCATCCCTACATGTATTCGATGCTTCAAACATGTATGCTCAAATACGTTCACTCTTAAAGGAATGTCAATAAATCCTTACACACGGTGATAATCTCTTTATTTTCACTTTTCATTTAAATGCATTTTATTCCAGGTTTGAAGACCATGATGACATAGTTCTCATGACGTTAGCGTATTAGACTGACCTTACACAATTTAATAACTCAATCAGAGCACGAGATCTTTGCTTATAATGAAAGAATTCTGTAGCACTTTTTTTCAGTCAAAACCAAATAAAAAAAAATTAAAATTTCTCTACGTTCATATCTACACAGTCCAAATTGTGTACGTAATTAAAGATACTATGAATACAGATATGTTGCAAATGAGTTGTGTCCCTTTACCAGTTGGTCCAACGGTTGTCTTAGACTCTTCGAAATCGCATGCAGTTCCTAAAACATCAAAAATAAATACATACATTGAAAAAGGAACCACTAGTGTGACAAGGTTGAAACTGAATTTCATTTTAATATGCAAAGAATAATCCATTAAATCCCGAAATGTTGTAATCAGAAAAAATAAACTTATACATTTTAGTCTCTTTTTTTTTAGATAAAAAAGAGAGTATATTGAGGGGAAAAGTATATTGATCTTTCTATGCTAAATATCTTTAATGGACTTGTCCATCTTTTCAATCTAGACAAAACAATGGATTATTTTAGGGGAAATATTAAAAGATGTAGAGACTAATAATAATGCACAGTGCAGACAATGAATAAGCGGGGCGATCTTGGTCTGCACTGGTCTCATCCGGATGTCGTCGGTCAATAATGTCTTCACATGTCGTAAATCAAACTTACGGTAAAATTTTGCTTGCAATTCTTACCTTTTTCACAATCGCATACTTTTCCTTTCCAGCGTCTTGCACATATGCATTTGAAGTCTCCTTTGATGTTATTACATTTACCATTGTTTAAACACGGGTTGATGGTATCTACAAAAAAAAAACATTTATGAATAACGTGTTAAAGTCATCACTAGCACTGTGCGTTTTTATCATATGGCAATGCTTGTTTACAGTGTAATACTATCATTATGTATTTTCTTTACATTACATTTTTTAATGTCCCCGTCAAACAATGATTTTGCAGTTTCCGGCGTTTTCCGGCGTTATACTATCAATTGTTTAATTACAACATTCTGTGTATATTGACTTGATATTCATACGCATGTCAACATTTGAACAACATATGAACAGTTAGGTTCATTAGGAACTTACTATTTAGGATTTGTACAGAATTGTTTAGTCATTTTAATATTGCATATAATAAAACGTGAATTACACGTGTGTGTTATTCTGGTGGACTATATCGCACACGTTGATTGCGTAAATTTGCGTGACCTACTTGAGACTTGGGAATGCAGCTTTAAGATCACCTCGCATGATACAGACTACTAGAGTATGAGTTTTACTCAAGTGTAGCATTCACATTTTCACAAATATCTTATTCAGTAAGCTAAATTTTATGGATTTAATTTGGAGTACTTCTAGACGCTTTACAAAGTAGAAATTTATCGCTTTTTTTCGCCGATTCTTTCAATATCGTAAAAGAGATGAAATAGACTTTTTAAAGTGCACTTCGGCGGATATAAAGACGAGATTTTAGAATTTGAACATTCAAAGCATTGTCCGGTATATAGCGGAATACGGAATTAAGTACGGTGCTCGTACAGATTTTTTAATCTCACTAAAATTAATTATACCGTCGCATTCGTTGATATCTTCTTCACAGTGAAGGCCGGTCCAGCCTGCCACACAACCTCGGCAATGGGCAAACCCTGTGGCTCCTTCACATATAACGTTCGGATCACAGTCTCCGTAGCAAACACTTCCGGCCGGGCAATTTTTCTTCCGTTCTAAACATGGGTCGTCAATAGTACAGTTTATACCTTTTATAAAATAAAAAAACAACATTAGTATGAAATATATAAAAGATTTAAAAAATATATACAAATATATATTTGCCTCAGACTTAGACCGTTTTTATAAAATTTGCAATTTAACCTGTTTAATCTGTGTAACGAATATCCCTTGTTTTGAATTTGGAACAGTTCATTTACGGTTTAAGGGATTTCAATATCAAAATACAAAAAAGAGCTACCAACAATTTAGAACCAGGCTGCACGGATATGGTCTCAAGATGATAACAAGATCTAATCAAAAATGATTCCATCAGGGCTTTGGGGTTAAGAAAAAGAAAGTTGGCGTAAAGAATAACTATAAAATATAATTGTTTTAAATGGCTACCAGTTTTCCCTGGATTACATAAGCAGGAAACATATCCCATATCGTCCACACATTTTGAGTTTACAGGGCAATTGATAGTTTCACACGTGTCAAAACTGGGTCCTACTGGTCCAAGATCCTCTGTCACTTGTCCATAAACCATACCTGCAAATATATTATAGATACATTGTAAATACATGTGAACAAATAATTGAGCCGCGTCACGACAAAACGAACATAGTGCGTTTGCGACCAGCATGGATCCAGACCAGCCTGCGCATCCGCGCAGTCTGATCAGGATCAATGTTGTCCGCTTACCAACTCTATAACAAGTAGAGAAACTGACAGCGAACAGCATGGATCCTGATCAGACTGCGCGGATGCGCAGGCTGGTCTGGATCCATGCTGGTCGCCAACGCACTATGTTGTTTTTGTCGTGACGCGGCTCAATTGTTTTGAATAAACTTAACGTCAACTATACATCCCAAACATGTCCGAGTGAAATGCCTTAAAGCAATGAACTAAAAAGTAATATAATGAAAGACCGGTAGGGGCATTTAAACTTGAAGTTCATGAATTCCCGATTTCATCTTCGTGAATTCACATTTTAACCTCGTGAATTCACGTTTTCAACATACCAATTCACGATCTCAACTTCATTGATTCACGTTATCAACTTCACGAATTCACGACTTCAACTTACCGAATTCACGTTTTCAACTTCACGAATTCACGATTTCAAACTTCGCGAATTCACAGTTTTGAACTTCACGACTTCAGCTTCGTGGAATTCATTATTTCATCTTAAGGTATTTTAAATTATTTCAAATTGATCTTTTTTAAGATATTATCTTAAGATAGGGTTATAAAAAGAGCAATGGTGAAATATACAAATGTCGGATCTTCACTCAAAAGTTAATGAAATCAAGAAAAAGCTGCCAAGTTTGACACACAAAAACTTAACATTATTCTTTTAAGCTAATAAAGGTTTAAAGGGAACCTGAGATACCTGTCCCCTCTGCTAGTTGTTTGTGGCGTATAGGTTATATCTTTCATGTGATATGACACCTATACAGGTTAGCTCCAAGGACAGTTTAACGAGAATTTCGGTTTATTCATACTTGCCACACGGTTGCTCATATAGACGAGTCCTACAGAAGAGTACTAGTCAGTTTAGATTTTTTTAGGAAGTGCAAGATAACAGATACAGAGAGATGCTCCTATCCAGAAGTTTCCTCGGTTCTCTAATATGTCAAGTGTTTAAACACTCATACACGAAACCTCGATTTAAAGTCCGAAAGACTGTTTAGTAATTTTAGTTAACCAGCCCGGGGATCGAACCTTTAATGTCGAGTTTGCATTACAAGTCTCGCGCTCTAACCGATTGAGCTATGCGGGATGGTTTCCAGGACAGCGACTCGAAAAAACTTAAATCGCAGTAAAGCTAAAAGAAATAATGTGTTTTAGCTAGATGACTTCTAATAAGTTAATTATGCAGTGTTTAAAATTTAATTAAATTCATGGCAAATAACACATATGGGTGTGGACATGTTACATATTTGATGTACTTTGCCTTTAGCATTTGCTTTTATTTTAATTATTTATAAAAGTTGGGGAAAATTAAAATGAAGGTAATATACTTGTACAAGTGGGTAAAAATCAAAGGAAAAATATGTCATCAAGTATTTGTCAGTCCGAATTGATGATGAAAAAACAACAACAATAAACAACAACAAAAAACTTGTACGACACAGTCAAACCAATTAAGAAGAAATTTCAATTGCAAATGTTAAGTTCGCTATTTATTTTAGGACCTACATATTACTGCGCAATTTTACTGAATATAAGTATACAAGCTATACATGATCATGTATTCATCGATGTCTTTACGAGCATACCCTCAAAAATAAGAACAAAGATCGAGAAGGCATGGCGAAATTCACTGAGCACAGTCCTTCGCTAAACCCTGCCAGACAGGACCACCGGTGTCCAGCAAAGCAACCCAAAACGGTCGGAAAGCCATTCAGACAAAGCAGGGAGTGGCGTTACGATTATTCCTTATAATTAATAAACTAATAAGGAAAATCATAAGAAATGAGCCGCGCGTCACATAGTGCGTTTGCGACCAGCATGGATCCAGACCAGCCTGCGCCGCGCAGTCTGATCAGTATCCATGCTGTTCGCTATCAGTTTCTCTACTTGTAGTAGAGTTGGTAAGCGAACAGCATGGATCCTGATCAGACTGCGCGGATGCGCAGGCTGGTCTGGATCCATGCTGGTCGCAAACCCACTATGTTGGTTTTGTCATGACGCGGCTCAAATGATTATTTCTGAATCAGCTGTGAAAGGCAATGACCATTAAACTCAGCAGAGATCAGTTGTCACGAAGAAATCCGCTCATCCGATGATCGAACATGTGGCCCCTGGACAACAAATCCGGTGCTCTTCCTATTAGCCTGAGCTGGTTCATGAAATTTAGACGCTTAAAGAGATACCAGACATATTTATAAGGACATTTTAGACGAAATTTAAATAAATAGAAATGTTTTAGCATTGATTTTCGTTCTTTCTTTAACATTTCTGAAAAAACATAATTTTATTCAAATAAACGAAACTGGTAACTAAGGAGAATTAAGATGTAGGGTTTGAGATAAAAGTAATCGTGATAACAGATTCTTGGCTAATGACTTCTATAAAAAAAAAATTTGAAGGCAGACATAATATAAAAACGCGATTCTTTTTCTTACAAATTCTTTAGAACCAATATTTTGTGACTGTTTTTAACATCACTGATACCCTTTCGTTGAATTTTCTGTAATAAAATAACAATTTCATGGAAATGGTTAATGAAAATTTCAAAGACTTTGATAACAATATGATAATTTTTATTTTTCAAGAAGTTTGTCAGATTATAAAAAAAAACATTATGGAAAGAACGTTCTCCTTTTTTGTGTGAATGTTGAACTATTGATATCTTACTAGTATCGGAATTTAAATTTCGACTTCGAGTATATGCTGAATGTATGGATATAATCTATATTTTTACAGAATTGAAAGTATAAAAAAAATCAAGACATTCCTGCTGAAATAATTATAACTCTGGGAAAGGATTTTTTCGGCACAACAACACATCATTTTATTGTTCAGTAATAGATAGTGATCAAAATGTCTCATATGAAATACACAAACACTATAATTAAAACGAAAGACGGTCAATGCAAGTTCAATTGAACTACCGAAACTATCAAATAATTACAACAGACTGAAGAACTGCCTTTTTAAATAATTTGATGTAGATTTGACAGGGTTGGGGCTGTGGCAGGGACTCTTTTTATGCCAAATAATATTTTCAATTTAAAAAAAAAACAATATAATTGTCATGGTAAATAAAAATATGCTTTGAGTGGGTAATCATAATATCAAAACAAAATGTGTCCGAAAACTAATAAAAATAGCAAAGTCAGAATTTGGTTGTATTCTCCTAATTAGCGGAATATATTCATTAAACATGCATGTTTAAGAATGCGATTTAAATCAGATAAAAGTAAAAGTTTAACGGAAATGCATACATTTATGGAATATATAAACAGTTTAACGTAGTATAAATCAAATAAACTGCTTAAAGGCACATCATGTCTAAGAAACGAATAAATTTTCATTCTTTACCAAGGAAAAACGCGAGCTTTGTAATGATTTGATAATGGTTTAAGAGAATGTCAGGTCAGGTTACATAAAGAAAGTAGCACTGAAATGTGACATTATTTGTCATTAAAAAAGACGCAAAATACGTGTTACTGTATTCCTAGAAATGTTCGCGGATACAATATTTCGCGTTTTTCACAACGTCGGCATTTTCGCGGAGACAAACTTTCGCGCATATGTAGTAACCGCGAATTCCGCGAATGTTAAGTCGCTACGTCCTAAATTACAGCTTTTGGAGACTACTTTTTTGATGCATGACCTTGCCTGTTGGGTGCTTTTAATTTTTTTTGACAAGTCGCGCCTAAAGCGCAACGTTACTCGATACATTTTCATCTAATGACTTGTCGAACAAGGACGGTTGTTCCGTGAACACTTTCATATTTCCTTACTTTTTTCATTATGTTATTAAGTAAGATTTAGTCAGATCCGTTAGCTTTTATTCCCATTTGAATCCTAACTGACTTTATCTTCGAATGTCGATACGTATTTTTTTACACATTATCGGACTGTACATCGCTTTCATTTTAAAACATAACAGCTGTTTATCAATGTAGCACTTTATCGCTATTGTACTTTTAACAAAGGATTACACCTACTCCAAGCAAATAAAATCCAAGTCATTCAATGTTCGCAAACTGTAAATGCGTTTGTCAACGCTGTGACTAGCAAATAACGTCAATAAGCATGATTATTACCAATAATTGATATTTTCTTTTCAGCGTGCAAACTAGTATCAATAACATACTTAAATTATTCTTTACCCATTCCTATAGCACCTGTGTTTATATGTTTTTTGTGTAAGTAGATTATAATAAATATTCTGCACTTTTTATGTTATATTTGGCTGAAGCTAGAAATGTTCGCGGATTTGTTATAAGTGACATATTCGCGGCTATAAAGATTCGCGGAATCATGCCTACCGCGAAAACCGCTAACTTAAAATGCGCGAAATCTTTTCTAGGAATACAGTATACGTAATACGTATAAACAAAGCAGTGTTTTGACTTCCATAAAAACTACAAAATCACTATGGCTGTACTAATTTTAAGAAAGCAACAGAAGTAAACTTTGAATCAGGTAATTGGTCAATGAGACAATATAAAAAAGGACAACAAATTTAAAAAGCTTTTTAGAAATAAAGATAAAGCCACTTTATGGGAATAATGGGCCTTTAATACATCTGTTAAAATGAGTGAAGAATGACATACTTTATCATTCTCGTGGTTTGTGTGGAAAAAAGTAATCAAACCGACCTTGATACAACTCATTATACAATTCATTGTCAAATTTTGATTGTTTGATCACTAATGTGTATGAATATAAATTTATATTACACATAATATATTTGTTGTCACTTGCATTCAATGCAATGTATGAAGATAATCTCTCCCTAAGTTTTGCTATACAGTGATACCAGTAATTTATTTAAGTTTTATAAATGTTTGCAGTTGAATGTCTCTTGTTTTTAATAGTTATATTCAATAATAACATACAATTTTTGTGTCGCCTCTACGGACCATTTAGTCAATGGAATATTGAAAATAAACTTCTATAACCTTCGTGTATATATATTGCATTATATGTGAATGACATTTTGAATGAAAGTTTTTGATCTTATTCATTTCTATTTTTTGTTTGAATATGTAATGTTACCTATAGCCCATGGCCATGGCCAAATAAAATACTAAATCAAAGGGGGAAATTGAACTTGTAACTAATTGTAGATTTCCATAATGTCTAAGAAATTAATGAATTTTATGAAATTTTCATTCATTTAAAAGGAAAAACTTTGATTTTATATGATTTATAAAGTTTAAATGATGTTTTTTTCAGCATGTTAGATGCTTATAACCTGAAGGTAATACGCGGAATGTTAAACAATTTGTCATAAAAGTAACAAAATGTAAACAAAGTAGTATTTTGACATGCAAGATATAAAATCACTATAAATGTACTTGTTGCCAAAAACAACAGAAGCGAAAGATGGTTCATGAAATTGGCCAATGTAACTGTTTGGAAAATATAATGGGACAACAAAAATAAATTCCTTTTGAAAAATAAAATAGAAACATTCCTATGGCATAATGGGCCTTTAATAGAAATATGTCATGTTATGCAATCCAGGAAATTTTTAACAAACCAACCCAGACCATTCTGAAATACCAAGATCTATTGTTGAGAAATACAGTTTGTGTACTGAAGTTAAAATAATGCTTGATATGATTGCATTGAGGAAACCTGGTTTACGTTACATATAAGATAACTTGTGTATAATCATTCTACAAGAAATCGACATAACTGTTGAAAAAGAACAGATGGCGTTACAGACATGTTTTAGTTTATACTTATTTTTTTAGTTCGATTGTGTTGAAAGGTATAAGCTATTGAAACACTCTCGAATTCGTTCCTGGAATCTACCAGTACTAAGCAATGAGTGTAAAGTATTTTTGCTCAAGGAAACACGGGCTTGTCCCCGATAGGGTTTGAACCCACGCGGTCAGTAATCCTTAGTGCGTCGCGTTAACCACTCGGCTACGCCGCTACTTTCGGCACTGTCCTAAATAGATCACCGCATACCATTAGTCTCTACATGGTAGCTTTTACATTTAGTTAGTTTGATGTTCTTTATTATTTTTATTATTATTATTATTATTATTATTATTATTATTATTTTTATTATTATTATTATTATTATTATTTTCATCCTCATCATCATCATTATTATTAACACTATCACTATCATCATCATCATCATTATTATTAACACTATCACTATCATCATCATCATCATCATTATTATTAACACTATCACTATCATCCTCATCATCATCATTATTATTAACACTATCACTATCATCATCATCATCATCATTATTATTAACACTATCACTATCATCATCATCATCATCATCATCATTATTATTAACACTATCACTATCATCATCATCATCATTATTATCAGATGAGATTTTGTGGATGATGTTCCGTTTACGGTAATACAAAAGTAATAAGAAATATAAACGAAACATTACCATTATAGATATTACCATTATAGATATATATCATAACATAAACGTAACATTCTAACGACATGAATCCGTTTGAATGTAACATAATTATAATTTTTGTCTTATTTTGTACGCTTTACTTAACTTCCACGTCTAATAATACAGTTTTAAAGTATAAGAAAATGTTAATGCAGTTCTGCAGAAATTATTAAGGTGGTACGACTACTAATGAGACTACTAAAGACAACATATTTACTGCATGCCATGTTTTTTTATTAAAACCTACAATAATCGCCTTTCAAACAGGAAATTAGATATAATTGTATTTAAAATCCTTCAATTTTAGAATATTTAATATTCTGATGAATTAAAAAATGACTTTTTGAAAGGCTGTATACACATGTTTCATTATTTGTCAGAGTGTATACATTGATATTGTAACATATGTATACATTGATATTGTTACAGATGTATGCATTGATATTATTACAGATATATGCATTGATATTGATGCATTGATATTGTTACAGATGTATGCATTGATATTGTTACAGATGTATGCATTGATATTGTTACAGATGTATGCATTGATATTGTTACAGATGTATACACTGGTTTCTTACAGATGTATGCATACATTTTATGATGTATACATTGATTTAATTACAGATGTGTACATTGATATTGTTACCGATGTATACATTAATAAATTTTTACAGATGTCTGTATTAATATTGTTACAGATGTATGCATTGATATTGTTACAGATGTATGTATTGATATTGTTACAGATGTATGCATTGATATTGTTACAAATGTATGCTTTGCTATTGTTACAGTTTAATTGCATTGATAATTGTGTACAGTTTAATTTCATTGATAATTGTAACAGATGTATGCATTGACAGTGTTACAGATGTATACATTGATAATGTTCACTGTACAGATATTACATCTGTTGCAAATGCACTGCATTTTATACATTACAATTTTCAGGGCGGGAACTCTCTTAACTAAACATGATTGTTTTGTGTGTTTTTTTCTTTCTTTCCAGATGCCGAAGACTCGTTTTCTGAAATTCCTCTGATTCAGGAGAAAATATAATCTGAATATAATCTGTATTCTAACATTGATGTGAACAAACTGGAAAGTTAGTCATTACGTCGAACACGTATAATTCTCATAAAGCTTTAAAGTTAAGCAAGATTCTGATCCAACATTTCTGAGGATCATGTGCATGCATTACTAGAGAGATGTATAGGCGTTCACTAAAACAATGCAGATATCAGAGATATAGCATCTTGAAAGCGTCTGTGTGACGGAAATGTAAATTACATAAACGTTAAAGCAGTCATGAGATAAAATATTTTATATGACAATAAGCCGACAGAAATAATACTTTATATTGTTAATAATTTAAATAATGGCCTTGATATGCATTGGTCATACATAAAACAATAACCTTTTTATATAAAAGATTGATATAAAAATTATAATATGCACGTTTTTATATTAGTTTCTACGAAAACAAATATAAGGAGCACGTTTTTATATCAGTTTCTCTAATAAAAGTAATAACGAGCACGTTTTTAATATTAGTTTCTATAATAAAAGTGACAGCGTGCTCGTGTCTACATTAATTTCTATGATACATTCCATGGACCGCAAATTACTGTTCTGAAATTATAGCAATTTAAATGCAACTGACATGCACTGCGAAAATCTGGCAATGGTCCCTCTGTGATAAGAGATTTACAGTAGCACGTTATCATCGAAAATGACTAAAACAATTTAAGTTAAAAAGTTAGTATATTCCCGCCCAGAGAACCGCACAAAAATGGAAAAAATATAAAAGACTTGAGCCAGTTTGTGGAAGACAATGATAAAAATCTCTCACATGTCTAGCACTGACGTGAGTCGCTTTAAATATTATACACCAGAAGTATCATCAGCAATGGTTCCGAATGACCAAAATAATATGACAATACTGAGAGAATAAAGGAATGGGCGATGTTTTACAACCGCCACACAACACTTGATTTTCGTTGTAGTCAGTAAAAAATCTGAATGTTAACTTTACATGCAGAAAAATATTTTTTTAAAAATAAGTCTGTACTAACAAAGATACAATTTAAAAACAAAATATTAATAACATGTACATATATATTAAAGATTACCTGCGATTCCATTCAGGACTAAGAATAAAGCTTTCAATTTGAACAAATCCATATCTATATTTTTCAAATATCTTTATTCCTCGTGCCAAAAATATGATAATTATTTGTTTTCCTTCAACCTTAACAAAACAGCGACTTCCCTACTTTTGAAACTACTGTCTTTTATAGTACTGTATCACACGGTAGTTTGGACAAGTATAAATATGCGATGAGTAAGCGTGCATTTTTTACTTTAAATCAAGTCTGTTTTTGCACACTTAAAATTTAACTTTTTTTCCACTTTATTCAAGTCTGAATGCTACTCTAAACGTAAGAGGCGTTCAAATTAAACATAATCACGGTGGGAAAATGACGAGATTAGTTTAACCTTAAAAGTGAATAGGCAAATTTTTAAATGATGTTTTACCGCATTTTATTTGCAATTTATTAGGCCGCCACGACCCGTGAATGTGGGCGTATTTGCCTGCCTTTGCGGATATCCGTGAAACAGTATTCCATGGGTACGGTATTTTAGTTTTGCGTTCGTGATGTAATTTAAAGCCGGTATGTTCGGCAATAAAAAAGGAATCCTGGTACAAAAATACAACGTATAAAATCGTTCGATAAAAAGTAAGTTTGTGCACTCTGGATGAGACAGACTAATATGAAATATACTAGTAGTCAAAATATTTTTACGTGCCAAAGCTAGATTCTGAGATATTTTCCTTCTGGGTCAGAATCTCGCTTTTAGACGCGAAATAGCACAATATCTCGTCGCACAGTACAATTATTTCGAGAACTCTTGAAGATAAATTTAAAGATCGGGTATGGTGGCATTGCAATCGTTCAAGTGACATATTGTGCAATGATATATTAATTCAATGTTTTTTTTTACATTTCCATCAGTTAGTTACCATTATATAAACATTTCCATAATTTTACGGTAGTTTGTACTTCGTTATACAGTTACTTGCTTTATTACTAGCGTCTTTTGTAAACGTGACAGAAAACAGAAAATGTGTGTATGTAACTATAGATAAAACTGGTAAACAATACCAGAGAAATAATCTTCAGTTCTCAGAAAAAAAAAATGAAATCAAGTAGAAAAATATAACGAGCAGGATATATACCGGAGTATGATTGACCCTTTATGATGGACTTAACTATCGGGCATATAAAATACTTAGATTTGAAAAGTTTCAGACAGATGCAGTTCGTTAAAGGTCCGTTATGCCTGTTAATTTTATTTCTCAAAAACTTTTATTTTTGGTATCTGATAACAATTTCTGAAAAACTCTTGTTTGCCATATGCCTGAACTTTTTAACTTTTTTCAAACTGTTTTGCTCTGTTGGCAATTGCCAAAATTATGGTGAATAAGTATTTTGTATGGAAGTCAATTACATATTGCTACCCTTGCAACACATTACTGCACGTTCAGAAAAACTTTCTTTAAGTTGTTAATTGCTCTAAATCCATTATTAAACAAATTTTTGAAATTTCTTTAAAAATATATTTAAAAAAAGAGAATTTCTGAGGCATTTAATGTAAAATACTTGTTATAACGAAATGTCGGAATGATGGGCATACGTATTTATTTATTTATTTATTTATTTATTTATTTATTTATTTATTTATTTATTTATTTATTATTTATTTATTTATTCATTTTCATTAAGTTATGAAAAGACCAATATTAGGCATTAAAAGTAGTGCTAGTGTACGCGATGGTAACTGCAATGCCAAAAATAAATGAAGCATTAAGAAAATGTATTATAAGAGTTGCTATCCATTTTGTTTTCTCTTGCCTCATTTTCATACCAAGAAGAAGATGAATAAATAATCTGATTATAGATAAGAAATATCATTCGATTTTGTTATATAACCATGTCTGTTTTTTTCCAGGGGTTTTTTTCCTTTTGATGTTTAAAAATCATTTTAAGGGGATGTAAAATATGGAATGAAACTAGGTCAAGTAAAAAAAAGACTTTTTTTTAAAAAGGGAAATCTTAAATTTTTTTTCTTTTTCCCCTCCTTTATTCAAAAGTATTTTTTAAAAAAAAAGTAGATTTTTGTATAAAATTTTGGTGAAGTTTTAATCCTTTTAAAATGTATCAAAAAGAGGAAGTTGTAATTGGTTTTTAGCTTTCCATTAGATAATCGGAAATTAGCCGCCCTTCAATGACTCATGTATAGCAACAAATAAGATAAAACAAAGAAGAAATCTATTTGAGGGACTATTGTATTTTTCTATGAAATGTTACAGTAAGTACTGACATGTATTTGCAAAAAAGTACTGTATATTTATTATTATTCGTGGGGCACTTAATTTCGTGGTCCTTGTGGATAGGTCAATCCACGGGTTTTATATATAACGAAAACTTATACCCTCTGTTGTGCTAATTAGTTTCATTATGTTAGTTTCCATTTTACTTTTTTGCATAACCAAACAATCTACAAATTAAAGAATCCACAAAACAACGCAATTTCAATGCCCCACGAATTTAAGAGAACCAATAGTGTCCTTAAGACAAGTCAGACAATAACTACAAAAGAGACGATACATATGAACGGAAATGTATGTTTTTTTATTAACGTGTGTGTATGTCATTAAATTAGAAGCCTATACAGGGAAATTAACTCCGATGAATGAATATGAACAGAATATACCTGATATGAAGTTGCATGTAAAATTAACTAGTACAATACCTATTGCACATCCTTTATGGCGCCACGTGACCAGTACGAAGCAATAATAAATAAAAAAGAATTAATTCTGATCTTAAAATGTCAACGACTTATTGGACCTTTGACAAAACACGCTTAAAGCAGCATAGCTAAATTTTACCCCAATCTTTGCTTTTAAACCATTACCACGTTAAATATTGTAAATCGTTCATCATTTTTTAGGGAGAATTCTGAATAGCGAACAATGCAAACCATGATCAGATGGCACGGAAGTGTCGGCTGTTCTTGGTCTGCAGTGGCAGCATAGGTAGAATGTTTTGGGCACAAGCAGGTTTAAAAAGGTTAAATAATTTTTTTTTAAATTCCCCCCATGCCTTACAAGGGTTGGGGGTTTAAACCCAATTTCCCTTCCTTTTCTATTTTTGGAAAAAAATTTATAGAAATTTTTTAAATCCCCTTAAAAATATTAAAAATGCCCCCCAATTTAAGGCCCCAATTTTCCCAAACCCGGATGTAAAATTTGGCACATATATAAAAAATAAGTGGATCACTTAAAATAACTTTGTACTTTGTAATAATGAGTTACATTTTTTTAAATAGAAACATAAAAAACCAAAACAGGCTTGACCCAATTACAAGGGGCGTTCTTAAAAGTGATTCATTGTCGCTTTTTAACGTTCCATTTGTAAATCTAATGAATTTTAAATTTAGAAAAAAAGGCTTACAGCTAAAAAAGGAGGAAGTAGGGTAGAAGTTTGTTAAACTTAACTTAGTCTTTGACCTACTTTTCGTAGGCACGATATTTTATCCAGATAGACGCGAAGTTAATATGAATGGTTAGAGTATAGGACCACAGATTGCAGGTCATGTAATGTCTTTTAAAAATGTTTGACCGTTTTCTACAATTATTATAACAGATTTTGATAATTTGCTTAATTTCTTAAAGACCACATAATCTGATAATATGAACAGATATTTAAAAAAATGCAAACAATATGGAAAACCGGTACAGGATCATTATAAAAGGAAGAAATATTACGTACTTAAAAACGCGTAGACCTGCGTAAGTCAACATCGATGAAAAATGCAAACACTGTTTTTATGATTTTATCAGGATTATTCAATTATTTTGAATAGGCTGACTTCATTCGTATGTTAAAATAAGGATTTAGAGTAAGTAAACAGATAAATAACCATATGAATAAGTGAGGACAGGTCACAAATTTGAAATATTTCCATGCACGATTTAATTCCAACTTGGTAGTAAGCCATGTTATGTTCATGTTTTAAACGAAACCATTTCAAAGGATCTTTAAAGCATTGAAATCAGTCTTCCTGTAAAATACATTGTAAAAGTTTGTATAATTCGTTTAAACTAATATTGAAATAGATATACTTTGCATTTCTATTCATTGATTGCATGTTGATTTTTCCCTTACGCATTAAGACTACATATATAGAGAAAATATATAAATGAAATAAGTTGTATGATTCATAGTATGCATCATTCAAGTCATGAAAACATTTTAAGTAATAATGATTAGAAGGAAATAAGTATATCTGACAATCACCATGTACATTGATATACATCGCAAAACTTACCAGTATATCTACACCACTTTTAGTACTGTATTGTTATTCAACATTCAAGTCTAATGGTCTGTACCATAAATGTGTGATTGGACATAAATTCTTTAACCAAAGACAATGACTTAAAGCAGCATGCCTCCAGATTCGTGCTAATTTTCATGAAGATTTTGAAAACATATTTAAATGTAAAGTATCTTAAGTAACCAAAAGGAAACAATTTACAAATTAAAAATGGCAATTACAATTCACGTTAATTATCTAAAAGAAGTCAAAATATGCAAAAATTCCACTGACTGCGTTAGTCACTTACTAAAAATAAGATGATAAGTACTATAGAATCAGTCATTTATCATTAACATTTGAATTTTGAATCATTTTACTTTTCCTAAAATTTTAGTACAAGTTTCATTTTCTTGAAATATATTTACTCATCTGGACGCAAGCATCTTTAAAAATGTTTTTTTTTCTCTTAACAAAATGATGTATCTGCGTCAACAAGTATACTCCCCTATATATGTATGCTAGTTTTTTAAGACTTATAAAATAACTACATGCACTATAATTGTATATGATAAAAACTAAAACATGTTTGTTTCGTTGCGCTCCACGTGTTTTTAAACCCTCATAGGTAAAAATTTCACCTTGTCAACAACTATCTTACCGAAATGACCTTTAGATCAACTAATAGATGATTTTATACATGGGGGATAAAATTGAATTTATGTCATAAAAGTAGCTCGTATCTGGATAGTTGAATCACCTAAAACAACGTGTAAATGTAAATATCTCCGCAGGCTCATTTACATTTTCATTTGAATTTATATCCTTGTGTTTTACGATAAATAAAACAAACTTTTATTCGTTCGATTGTATAATGAAAAAATAATGTCCATCAATACTTTTATTATTATTTCTCAAAATATTTTATTTTTGATATACTTCCAAAAAAGTAACTCATTGCCCAATTATCTGAGCCATATTTTGCTTCTGCTGCTTTTCAGCAGTTAGTATGATTAAAGTGATTTAGTATTTTGGTAAGGAGGACAAAATATTTTGATTCTTTTATGACAAATAATTTCACATTCAGGGCTACATTCTTAGGTGG